CTACATGGACCCTTTGGGTTCCTTCGGGGAGCAAGGTACAGAATCCTACCGGAGCCCTGCTTCTGCGATTCACAGGTGTCCTCATGTGAGCCATAGTTTAAACTCCTTGAAAGGGGGTTTTATTGTGATTAGGGTTTAGGGTTTAGGGTCTAGGGTTTAGGGTGGGGACTACTATAGGGGTCCTTAAGTGGGATACCAGGCGTTTAGACTATGGCTCATGTGATGGGAAAGACACTATGAGCCATAGGAACGAACGACCCAATCGGCTCTTCACCGAGCAGCTCCTTGATGCTCTAGAACTCTGATGCCCCTTAATAACCCCGGTAGTAGTAACCCATATAATCCCCTATATAACCCCCCTTTAAGGAGTTTAGACTATAGCTCATGTCATGTGTAGAGGTCCTACAAGGTCAGTACACCCAATCAAGCACAACACAACTTCAGCGTATCACAAATAATACTTACACAACCCATGAGTGGTATCACAGACCCCAAGCCCCTAATCGCATCCTGAGTTTTTGAAAAGGTCAATTCTAACAACACCGGCTCGCCCAAGGCGGCAGCGTGCAACTCTTATTCGTCTTGATGACGTTTACCTTTGACTTGTTTTGGCTGACGCTTCGTCTGCGGGTGATAGGATCAGGGAGCAACTTTTGAGGATTGTGGAGTCGAGCGTTCTGGATGTCGTGGTTTGAAGCCTGTCGGGCTAAGACGATGCTTAGGAAGAATGGGTAGCCGTGTTGAGTTGTGGCTGCTGAAAACCTCGATGTGGACCATTTAAGATGCAGAGTTCTATAAGTCAGGGTCCTAACAGTTGTGGACTGACCGTAGTAGATGACAGATTCAACCTAGGAAACAAGAGCCATGACCGTGACATCATCCAAAAAAGGACACTCGTCTAAGTTGAGGGAAGGACCTCACCTTTTCTGAGCTCACTGGCTGTGCAATCCGGATGGGCTTCGATAAGAAGACACATGACATGGACGCTTGTTAAGATATAGTCCCCCTGAAGTAGATAGAATATGGCTTTGGGCATATCATAATCAGGTCCCATATACCCCATATTCTATCTACTTAAGGGGGACTATAACCGTTATACCGAGTTTTGAAGGGGACCTTTGGAGCCTTTACCTTGCATCCCCACATGTTATGAACAAAAATGGGTGGGGGTAGTGTCTCCAAGAATCAGTGGCCTTTTTTTTTGGGTGGGGAGAGGGGGGGGGGGGTCGTCCCCATAGTAAGGATCATGGTATACTAGGGTCTATACTGGGCTCCCTAAACCTACACCCTAAACCCTATAAACCCTATAGACCCTATGAACCCTATAAACCCTATGAACCCTATAAACCTAAAAAACCCTAAAAACCCTATGAACCCTATGAACCCTATAAACCCTATAAACCCTATAAACCCTATAAACCCTATAAACCCTATGAACCCTATAAACCCTACAAACCTTACAAACCCTATAAACCCTATGAACCCTAACAACCCTATAAACCCTATAAACCCTATAAACCCTATAAACCCAACAAAACCTACAAACCCTATAAACCCTATAAACCCTATAAACCCCATAAACCCCTATAAACCCCTATAAACCCTACAAACCCTATAAACCCTATAAACCCTATAAACCCTATAAACCCTACAAAACCTACAAAACCTATAAAGCCTACAAAACCTACAAACCCTATAAACCCTATAAACCCTATAAAGCCTATAAACACTATGAACCCTCAGCCGCGTGAATTGGCTGAGGTAAGCACTTTCGAGTTTTTTTCGTTTACTCCGGGCCCTGCCCAGCCAGCTCCTGCACTCTCAGATTTCATTCAACAGGTTAGGGTTGAGGGGTTTTAGGGTTGACGTTTAGGGGGTTTAGGGTTTAGGGGGTTTAGGGGGTTTAGGGTTTAAGGCTTTAGGGTTTAAGGTTTCAAGTCTCTACTTGGCACTTAGGACCCCTATTAAGGGTTAACCCTCAATTACCTATAATCGGAATATAAGGGCATCCCAAAGGGTTAAGGGTCTAAGGTCCAAGCTAAGTCCCAAGGAGGTTTCATTCAACAGGTTAGGGCTGAGGGTTTTAGGGTTTTGGGGTTTAGGATTCAGGGTTTTAGGGTTTAGGTTTAAGGACTTTGGGTTTTAGGGATTAGGCTTGGGGTTTGAGGTTTAGGGTCTCTGGCAGGGTGGAAGCCTTAAAGGTACGCCTAATATAATCCTCAGTAATTGTTAGAGCAGTCCTCAATGCTTCCCCATCATCTGCATTTATTTATTAAAAGAAGCGTCAGGACCCTGAGGTCAGCACTGTCTTCCTCCATCTAGGTACTTCAACTAGCTGAAAAGCTACCGGCCTCTTCCTTAGGGGTTGGGCTATGTAGCACAAACTCTGAAACTTATAGCAGGGCAGGGAAAAGTTATCCGCCATCTCCATAAAATTAAACCCTGCAGACCCTAACTATTGCTTCAGGTTCCTACATGCCACAATGCACAGACCTGCTAAATTGTCCGAAGGTGTCCATACGGCCCTCTTCACCCAATCCTTGCTAAAAAGTGTCATGGTCAAATCAACTATATGAGCCATTGTCTAAACTCCTAGTATGCCGCCTAATAACCCCTATAGTAGCCCCCTATATAATTCCTTATATAATCCCCTTTAAGGAGTATTAGACTATAGCTCATATAGTGTTCATAACAAACATCTTAAAGCTCTGTGACGCCCATCTGGAGCGCAACAGAAACCCGGCAACTGCATGTGAAACCCGCGCTAGATGGTGTGGGTGAGCACAGGTGGAAGGTGCGTCAACATGGCTGCTCTTACGGATCACAACCAAGTTCGCAGAACCTGTTGGGGGTTGGCCAGTGTCTGAAACGACAACCTGTACCTCATTTTGCGGGGCTCGAAATCCCAAGAGTACTAGGAATGTCTTACGAACTTTTTGTCCTGGATGTAGGTGATGTCGTCCCAAGGATGGCGATACAGAGGCTGCTTCAGCCTTGCTGCTTTAGTAGTCTTCTTCTGAATTCATCGACTGCCAGGCGCAAAGTCCCCTAAACTGTAAGCAGATTGAGCAAGCAGTAACTTCAACAACATACATCCTTGAAGAACCTGATACCATTGCCCTTGTGGCCTTTGTCACGAACTGTGTAGAGCTTGCATTTCAGCATTTCAAGCGCCACTCCCGCAAAACAAATTAAAGGAGTACTGCCAATGGTGGTTTCCAGCAAACGTTGTCATGACATCAAAAAGTCTCTTGCCAGCAGGATTGAAAAAGACGGCATAGTCATTGGCATCTCTGTGCTTTTCGGCTCGATATTGCTGACTGAATGCTGCAAGTTTGCTGTCTTCCGTCAAACGGAGTGGCCAGCAATAAGCCCCACACAGGGAACCTCCCCAGGGAACACACAAACATTTTCTCAGGGTTCACCTTGCAAGGGCAGGAGAGACAGTATTAGACACCACTGCAGCTTCTCGGGGCTTTGCTGGTCACTCTTCTATTCAGGGCAATTCGAACTGATAATTCCTAGACTTACCTCGAGTCATGTAAATTCACGTAACGTACCATGCATCACCTTCAAGAGAAAATAAATACGACGGGTCCCTTATCTTCCCCAAAATGCTATTTTTGGATGGCACTTGCTCATGAATCCTCTGCACTACATTCTACACCTACAAACTTGTACGCATCTATATTTCCCCTTTAAACTGACGTCCACATCTTGGAGCCTCCTATCCGAGAGCCCGGCCGCAGCTGGTCCAAGTAGTGGCCGATGAATCCGATAGAGCGGCCTGGACGTAAGTGTAGAGATAGGGTTTCGGGTTTAGGGCTTAAGCTTTAGGGTTCCGGGTATTTATCGTAGAGGCTTGCATAATTAGCTATAATATTGTCGTAGATTCCTAGATTACCCTAAGAGTCCGAGTACCTAAACAGGATTTTGTTTTGGGTCCCAACGGGTCTGTGCATGGATGTGTTAAGCCCACAATGACAGTTGTAGGGCCTGGGGCTTAGGTGGCAGGGTTGAAGGGTATATAAACGTATGGGGAGCAGGTTTGGGGTAGGTATGGTTCAGGGGACTTAAGGAAAGTTGTCGCGGTTCCCGGGCTCAACTTATTCCTAAAGTCCTAAGTCCCACCCCACAAAACCCTTGCCTACAACGAAAAATGGAAGTAAGAATAAGAGTAGTAGCAATAAGAGTACGCCCCATAAGCCCTATGACCCCAAGCCCAAACCCTGTATGGTGGGTTGTTCTCAATCTTATGGGCCGTTTTGGTTATGAGCTATATACAAATACGGCGCCTAATATTGAGGGCTACCAAACTGGCACCCTTGTTTTGGGAACTACCCATGTGTAAATCCCAAACCACCCTAAACTCTAAACCCTAATCCCACATGTCTATCTCAAACCACCCTAAACCCTGAACTCTAAACCCCAATCCCATATCATGTGCGTCTCAAACCAAACCCTCGCCTAGCACGAAGAGACCGTTCAGGCAGCCGAAAGCCATGAGGTCATCACACTCTTCCTGCCATCTGGAAGGGTCTGTCTAGGGGCTTTAGGAGGGACCCCTAATGGGGACCCTTGTAGCTTATTGGGAGTAATATGGGTACTACCTGGTTATATAGGGGGTATATAAGGCCCATAAAAGGGTTATATAAGGTAATGGGATTAGGGGTCCCTTCTAGGCGTCCCTCCTAAAGTCCCTTGAGTCTGGGTCCCCCATGCGGACTTGGGCTAGTGGGTATGTGGGGAATTATTGGGGATAGTGGCAAAGAAAATGGAAGCTACTATCTGGGGTTTAGGGTTTGGAGTTTAGGGGTTTAGGGTGGTTTGAGATAGACATGTGTTTTGTTTTTTAGGGTTTAGGGTTCAGGGTTTAGGGGTTGGGGTTAGGGTTCGGGTTAAGGGTGTAGGGCTAGTTTAGGGTTTGGGGTTTAGGAATGTCAAAGTTATGGATCCTTTCCCGGGCACCCTGAATGTCAGGGGCCGTATTATATTGAGCACCCAAGAAGGAAAAATGATGTTGATAGTCTACCACATGTGAACATAATAGCCCTATCCACGCCCTTCAGACCACTCGCATGGTTCCAGGGGCTCTACCTGGACTTCCCCAATACCCAAAACGATAGCTTTTCTACCTCTTATTTTCTGCTTAAAGGCTCTGATTTTATAGTATTTGCGAAGTCCAGGTAATTCTTAGATTCCTTTGAAACCCTAAGCCCTAAAACACCTACGTCTCGGAACGATTCCCGGCAAGCTATTGGACGAGCCGAAGCTTCAGGGGTAGCCTATGACAAGACTGTGGGCTTTCGAAAAGAACCCACTCCCTAAAAGGTCCCAAGGACCTACATAACAGATAACCTTGGCCCAAAGTACCTATATGACCCATCGTCGGAACTCCCTTGGAGGGGATTATATAGGGTTGCTATTACAGGGGACATGAAGGGGGATACTAGGAGTTGAGACAACAGCTCATATAGAAATCCGTTTTGGCCCCATTTGAGTGCTTGGACCTTTAGGGACTGGCCTTTGGGTCTCACACTCGTACATTGAATCACCCATAGCCTGAATGCATGGGGCTGATGATGATGATGATGATGATGCTTTCTAGAGGTTGGGTTGAAAAGCTCTGAACAAAATCCTGGAGGTTGGGTCTAGGTTCTAAGAAAGCTGTGAGAAAAATCCTGACGACTGCACAGAAACTCATTGTCTTCCCTCACCTCGCCCGCGTATGTGGCATTACCCAGGCCTGAGCGGACGGAACCTTCCAAACGGCAAGCCTCCAAGTCAGATTTTGCAGGGTCCCAGCAGACTTCTGGAACACCAAACCCTAAACCCTAAACACCCACACACTGTACGCCCTCTCCTTGGAGAAGGCACCGCAAGATCTGATCATGTCCACGAACGACCTGAGAACACATAATCAGGGAGTTTGGGAATTGCCCTAGGGGTCCAAGTTCCCAACTATTAGGGCAGTAGGTCCCAAATACCATAATCTGAATGTATTTGGGACCAAAAGCCAGAATATCTAGCTACTTGGACCACTAGGGCTTGTTCGGGTCTAGCAGCTACGTGACGACGTCTCGGTCAATTTCGGACTATGCCATGGGGCTACCAAGTTTTCTGTGCCTAGATACGGGGTAGATAAACATGCAGGATCCTCCTTTACCCTAAGGGTCCAAGTACTCAACTACTGAGGTTTTAAGGCCCAAAATACTATAGTTGGAATGGTATTTGGAACCTAAAGCCCCTAAGATTTGGGTGCATGGACCCTTAAGATTAGGGTTGGAATGCTTTGGGGCATCCCTGCAGACTTCTTGGGAGGATCCTTGTGTGTCTTCTGGGCACTCAGGTTTGGCTTCCGGAATGAACTTCCACTGAACACATTTTGAGACACCACTTTGAAAACAATGAAGACACCTGCATTGCATAAATGGGCAGTCAGATTTGTTTCAACAGCCGGCACTGATCTAGTCCCTGGCCCTTTTCCACTCCAGCAAAAGCTGACCTTGCGTAAGGAATGCTCCTTCAATCAGGTGTTCTTAAATGTATATTTAGCATTGAACCAATCTAGCCCCATGAGTCATATCAATGCTACCTGGGACCCTCCAAATACTGATATTGAATGAAGCCTTCTAAACTCAAAATGATGGGTAGCGACGCTATGCATAAGGAGGTCCAGGTACTATGTATTCCGGCGCATGGGTCTGCATCTCATGTATCAAGGTACCTATCATTTCAAAGACTTGCACATCTTAAACGAGAATTCGTTAACTAGATGAAGCCCAATGACAAACCCAAAACCCGATGCCCAAACCCTAAACCCTAAGCCCCATCTGGGGGTATCGGGGAACAAAGGTGTTGCTGTGTGCAGGACACAGCGATGCAGCCGTCGACGTTGAGGATCAAGTTTGCTCGCTTCCGGGTGGTGATCTGCTCCTAGGCTGTAGAGTAGTAGTAAAACAACCGTAGTAATCATAATCGCAGCAATAATACTAACAGTAATAATAATGCTAATAACTAACCATTAATGATATTCATAGCAATGACAAGAATATATGATTGGGTTTAAGGTTGACACAGAGTAGCGAATGTACACAAACAAAGGGTGTTGTACCTCTGGATCTCATTGCCTTGCCTTGCGTGTCAAAGCTTCTCTAGGTGGGGTTTACGGGGTGCTTACGCGGCTTATGGTGTAGGGTTCACTGGTGCTTGGATGCCTGGTCATGCGACCAGACCTGTGCAATTTTTGGAGCCGGACCATATGCTTTGGAGTGATTCTCCATGGAGTACTGTCCCAGAGGAAAGAGTATGAGGCCCTAGACTTGCCAAAGGCTTCACTGAGGATAACCAGAGGCCTATATTAGGGGTTCGGATATTCAGCAAATATCAACGTATAGGCCCAAACCTAGAGAGAAAGGAAACCTTTTAGGCTCAACAATAGATAGTTCCGAAGACCCCTAAAAAACTCGTTCAGTTTTTGGACAATTATTGAATCCTTTATGGTTTCTCCACGATAGCAAGCATCATAGATGCTGTGTCTTAGAACACTGGCAAAGCGTGAAAAATAAGCAAACGTTTACACCCGCGCGACATGACAAGGTAGCCTGCAAGGGGTGGCACAACGTGTTGAAACCCTCTCCGCGGTTTTTGCGATCAAGTTGCGACTGCCAGGGCATAGTCGAGGACTGGCGTGTTGTTGAAGTGCTTCTTAGCGAAGCCCTTGATGATCTCCACCTAGGGATAGTGGTTGATTAGTCTAGCTTGTTGCCATCCGCTTACTAGTTGCTTACAGACACCGGTTCGAAACCTCACGCTCCAAGTTTGCGTTGAGGAGCTGGACTCCAAGAATAGAAGCTTTTTGCAATGATCTGGGGCTTCGACACGCTGGTCAGGGTTTGCCAAGGATTTGATCCTGTGGCCGATTCCCATGATGAGCTGGTTGCTCTTCTTCATCTTCTCAATCCAGTCCTGCAATGGAGGAATGCTTGCAGTGTGATGGATTGAGGGGTTGCTCTGGTTCAGGTTTGCATGCAGTCGATGGGCTAAAGCTCCCAAACCTAGACCCTAAACCCTGAACCCTAAACGGGTCCATGCAGCCAATCCTGTAGTATACCCAAGTTGTAAAGGGTGCTGCGCTTCTTTGCGCGCCGCGCAAAAGGTTACAAGCTCCAACGCTTTGTAAGGTCGAAGACGGACGACTGGAATGTCACAAAACTCCTCGCCGGCGACCCTGGAAGCCCAATACCCCGTAATCCGAGAATACATTGCGGTTCGACAGGGTCTAGGGATGGTACCTCCCCACGAATGGTGGAGACTCAAATGGAAAAGAAACTGGAAAACATGGAACTTGAGCTTGCGGCAAAAACATCAAGTTCATAACCTACAAAAAACGGAATCAGCCTCGTCACTGCTCATCCAGCTGCAAAAAGAAAGCTGAATGCCCCCTAAAGAATTTTATGAGTTTTAGGCGTAGGCAAATCTTCAGGAAGGTCGAAACCCCTAAACCCTAAACCCTACCCAAATGCTGAGGCCGAATGAGGGGCTAAACCCGACGCCTGATTTCAGCCTAAGTGCCACCTATTAAGGGCCCTGTGACCCCAATTAAGGATACTAGGAGGGTCCTGGTTTAAACCCCTACATTATCACAGGTTTCCATGTCATTTTCCGTGGTCTTTTCCATTTGAGGCTTCATTTTTAGGAGCGGAAGATGCCTAAACCCTAAAGAAATCCTATATAAATCCTACAGAAGACCATCGATCCTGAGGTAAACTCTGCAAGCCTGACCACAAAGTTGGACTTACTTTGCCAGGAATGTGCCTTGGGCGCCACACCGCTGCCCTGCGCATCAGCGAACCTCATCATGTGAGCCATAATCTAAACTGCTTTAAAGGGGGTTATATAGAGAATCATGTAGGGGACTACTGAAACCCTGAGCCCCAAACCCCTAAACCCTAGCCCTAAGCCCTAATTAAACCCTAAACCCCTAAACCCTAAGTCCTAAACTGTAGGGATTGTTGAGCTATAGCTCATGGAGCGCAGCCAGGGTTGGAACCGTTCGCTTCTCGCAGCTCCAGGGCTGCTTACCCTGGGGCTCTAAGACTGTGAATGATACCTTCATTGGACCCTAAGGTTCGTAAATCCGACCTTCATTTGCCTACTTGGAGCCCTGCAACTTGCATAGTTGGGCGCACTGTTACAGGTTGAGGTCCAGGGAATATTCTGCGGCTTGTCGGATGTCAGGACTAGTACAGCCGTACAGCCACTGCTTCTGCTGGGGCTACTGCTTCTCCTCTTCCACCTAGCACGGTCCTTGCGCATTCCCACCTTGCCCTACCTTTACTCCCACTCCTCCTCCTCCTCTTCCTCCAATCTCCAGCCCCTCCTCCTACCTCAACCCTATAGTACTTCCTGCCTTTCCTCCCATCAGCTGCTGTAGATTTCAGACGCGAGGAGCTGGGGGTTTGCCAGAAGCACTCTCGCAAACCTATATACCCTGTTCCCAGACCCCTAGCCAAACCCTAAGCCCAAAGCCCTAGACCCTAAACCCTATATAACCCCATGATAGTAGTTTCCATGTTCTTTTCCATTGTCCTAGACACCCTAAACGCTAAATCCTAAACGCAGCGCCCTAAACCACAATATACTATAATTCACTGTAATATACTCTAATATACCATAGTCTGCTATAATATAATACAACAATATACTATAACACACCATAATATGCTAAATCTTACTATACTATACTAAACCCTAATATGCTGAATCTGAGCACTGTGGCATCCTTGCAGCATCATCCAGGGCGCCACCGAAGCGAGGTCCGATGGTCAGCAGGCCGCTGCAGAGCGAGGACACGAGGTCCTTTCCTGAAAGGGCCCAGGGTTGAGGGTTTACAGGGTTTATAGGGTTTCTAGGGTTTGTAGGGTTTGTAGGGTTTATAGGGTTTTTGGGGTTTAGGGTTGGGGTTTATATAAAGAATAATGGAAAAGAAAATGGTAACTATCACATTATGATAGGGTTTATCGTGTTTATACGGCGTAGGGCTTGGGGCTGATGGAGTTTAGGGTTCATAAGGTTTGAGGTATACAAGGCTACTTGGAGGTTCAGAGCGATTTTAACCGAATGATCTGTGGCACTCGTTGCAACTGATAAGGACTATATTGAAGTGGCTCAGGTAGCTCAATATTGTCACATAGATAGGTACAGTAATTATGTCGCATTATATAGTCCCCCGTACGTAGATAGAATCAGGCTATGGGTATCTTATCATAAGATCCCCATATACCCCATATTCTACCACCTAAGGGTGAGTATAGTCTCCAAGTAGTTTTTAAGGTTTCAGGCTTAGTAGGTAAGATGATGGCCCCCTAGAGCTGCTTTCGAGGCTTTTGGGCCACTGGTCTCAGGGAATGAATCGCTAGGGACCGTCTTTTGGGAGTACTGAGAACTCCTACATTTAGGTGAAATTCTGGGGCCTTGTGTTCCCTATTCTTGAAGGTTCCATTGCAGCTGATGAAAGAAGGCCATAAGAGGGCCATATTGTGACCACGGGCTAGCGGAACGTCAGAGCTCGTACAGGCTCACCCTGCTCAGTCATGATTCGGCGGAGGGGGGCTCTCTGAAGCCGGCATGCGGGTATTGGCAGAACTCCATGAGGTTTCTTCGGATCGCAGGTTAATGTTGCACTCGGTTTTGCGTAGGGACCCTCTTTAATATGTTTTCGCCGCCGCTTATTCAGGACATGGCCAATGTTTGGGTGACCCTGTTTAATGTGTTTTGTCCTTGGGGCCCTAAAACTACGGGACCGAATCCAGACCATCCCCTTTAAAGTAATCCCCAAGGCGTCCAGGGGCCCTCGGTACCGTGGGAGCCTTATTGAGGACGTCCAATTTCTATTTTTCGGGAGGCCCTATTGTTAGGTGGGGGGGGACCCCTAAGATTAAAAAGGCTGCAACATTCAATCACTTTCTTCAGTTGTGCCAACAAGACGCAAAGACAAAACAATCGCGAACCTACTCTGGGTGAGATTTGGTATGACTGATAAGCCAAAAGCTCTCTGTCAAGAGCAGCACGGTATAATAGTACCCACAGAAGTGGAACCCTCTTGCATAGTAGTTCCAGGATGCAGGATCGCCTCAGAAGACCATCCCTAACCATTTTGGCAAAGCCCTCCGCATCCGGCCTGCACGGGCTGTGACGATGGTGTTGTGGGCGCCGCTGACTGCAGGACCGTGATCCGCAGTGACCATCAAGATCATCTCGATGAACTTCGTGCAGTAGGCCTATGCTTGCCACAATGGTTTTTCAGGGTACGGAGTGGAGAATCGCCAATGAAATCCTCCCTGTTTTAACTGGCTATTATCTTGAGGAGGCGTCCAAACCCTTTTGAACCCACATACTAGCTCAGTTCGGGCTGTAGAACCAACTTCCCTAAGTCTTCCAGGACTCAGATACTGGGGCCTCAGGTCCTAAGCACCGTTCAGATTATGGTATTTGGGACCTATAAAGCGTTCATTTTCGGGTACTTAGACTCGAACATGTCCCTATCATCTCCTATAACCCCTTCACAATACTAGGCTCAGGGTTCTTTGCTCGAAAGAATAGAGTGGGGTCGTGCGCAGCTACTCGGTGCTTAAAGAGCTACCCCGGCCGTTCACTGATGGAAAAGAGTCCGAAGTTAGACTATTTTTTTTGGATTTGCTTCTCCATCTGCTCCGTACGGGCCTGCACCCCAAACCCTAAACCGCGTGGCTGTGACTGAGGGCGCCGCTGGGAGCTGACGTCGGAACCACAGCAGGGAAAGCACACCACCAATGCCGATGTCCTGTTTGTAGCCTTCTCTTCTAGAATTCTTATTACGATTACGATCAGTATTATTGCTGTTATAACTATTACAGTTTATATGAACCAATGATATAGGCTATATAGGTTTAAGGTGTAGGACTGAGGTTCCAAGACCCATTGGACCCTGATAGAGGGTAAGTGGAGGGGCCAGGCAAGGTTGGAAGTATGGGCCCTTAATCCTGAATGCCTTATCTACCACTTCTACACCCTGTATTATAGGGTTTAGGTTTTAGGGTCTAGGGGTTCAGGGCTTAGGGAGCTCCAGAGGGTTTGGATTTCTGGGTGTAAGGGACGAGTCTACGGTTTGCAGGGCTCAGCGGGTTGGGGGCTTATTATGCGGCTGATGCCCTTTCATCTTATGGGAGAGCTTGCCTACATTCAGGAACCGTAATCTAATTGGAGCTCGAATATACTGGGGTTGCTGTTAAGGAACTTAAATTAAGTTACCATAATGGGTATTTATAGTAAATGCTAGGGTTTACCCCCTACAGTAACTTAAATTAAGTTCCTTAACAGCAACCCAGTATGAGGATCAGCATCCTACCGGGTTGAGGAAACAAGCCTTCCTTAACGCACTGTTCAAGCGCTGCGTTCTTGTCTGACAGAGCTTTCTCATTTTATGGGCGGGAAATAGGTGGCCATGTCGGGATAATCTCCCCATATTTTGGAACTGCCCCCTAAATACTACGGAGTACATCCCCCCCCATGCTGAACTCTAAACATCAGAGCCAAAAGCATACACAAGCAATGAGACCCCTATGAATACTAATACGGTCGGACAACGCTTTCGTTTGCAGAGCCCAGTCCTTGCTGAAGACGTCGGAGATGCTCATGCCGCAGTACGTAAGCTCCTCGATGCTTTCATTAAGATGGGTACATGCACTAAGACTCCCCTAGCGCCCTCAATTGGGGAATATGGCCCCTAACAGTGAGCAATTTGGCCCTAACAGAAAGTGGCTTCGGGTTCGGACTTCGGTCAGAAAGGATTTGGGCTCTAGGAATAGCTTAGCTTTCAAAGGACGCTTCATCCCACTACCTGAAACAACACACTCCCTGCATGGTTCTTGTACGGTAGAACGGTAGAATGCAGCAACCCTGCGGGAACTCAGAATATCTCCACTAGGGTCAGTATCGCAAGTTAGAGCCCTGTGGAACCGTGAACCCGGATGCTTGAACCTTTTGAGAGCAAAATCTCAGCTAAAAGCCAAAAATATTGGGTCGGAGCTGAGTTCGAAAGACATTCACCTTCACGCCTGAAACACTTCTACAAGCTTGAAAAAACTTAAACAGAAGACCCAGGGAGGCCCAATAGACCCCAAGGGCTCAACACTCCACACTCCTCGATAGCACAGAGACCTACCTGACTTCGAACAAAGATGGTGAGGCAATATGGTAAACACTTGCATTCAACAATTGCCAGAGAATACTGTCCACAACTGTGGTCTTCTACACCGAACATGAAACCTCAATCGGCTGCTGTAAGTCCTCACCGCGGTCGTCTGAGATGGATGAGATGAAGTTGGCAGGCTTCCTGCATCCCGACATCCGTGGAGGCTGATCAGAGCTTTGGGCTTAGGATTTAGGCTCTAGGGATATTACTCCAAATCAAGTGGAAAAGAGCATGGGCAATTAAATGGACACTGGGATGATATAGCATTTCAGATACCAGGATCCTCCTGGCGCCCTTACTTGGGGTCATAGGGCCCCTAATTAATAGGCACGTGGAAGAGGGGTACTTAGGCTTAGTTGGAGGGTCTAGGTGGAAAGTTTTTCAGGGCTCATGTCTTCTATTTGCCTAAGTCAGCCACAAGGGTCTTTGACCCCTTGGTCTTAATCCCTCGTCAAGCAAAACTTTGCACGATGCGCAAGTTTAATGCATACACTTGACGTCAAACATGTTAGGCCTTGTGCTGTGTAACCTCTGGCTCCAGTCGATTCCTAAAATCTCAATGCTCAGGGGAACCTTCGAACTCTGAAAGCTTCTAGCCCTCTAGCAACATCCTCAAACTCCTGGAACCTGCTGAAAGAACCAGAGCCTGACCGAAACTCAAAATACAACAAGATCTGAGCCTCAACTCTGAAACCACTAAGTAAATTCTGCAATCCCTGTAGCCTGAAAACCGTAAACCCTGAAGCCGCAAAGTCCTGAAACTCTTAGCCGCTTACTGTCCTGACCATGCCCAACTTCTTGGCCCAGGTGTAGTCCATGGGCACCTCTAACAAGAGTAATGGTAGTAACAGTAACAATATAGCAAATAATGGGAATAATAGCAAAAATAATACTCCTAAGAATAAGAGTTTTGGGATTTGGATGTAATTACTTGGAGAAGTGTGTGCAGGTAGATCCTGCATGAGAGGGCCCAATTCAATCTACACCTTAGGGGATTTTCGGAGGCTGGGTGTTCGGATCTTGCCCAGAATGCTCTGGAGCATTCAGTGGAGTTATGAGGCGCTCAGCGGCTTGAAACAGACTATACTCATCTAACCTTGGGTTGATACCATGTGGGTTGATATGTGAAGGGGTTTCCCGCAACCCTTCTACATGCTCACACCAACTTTCCTAAAGGGTTCTCTATGAAATCCAGACATCCGTGGCGTGTTGTTTGCGTAGATACGTGGGCATTTGGTCGGTCGGGTCCCCCATTTTTGCCCTCACAAACTGACAAGGATACAAGAGTTCAACATGTAGGGGCCCTCCACGTGGCACATAGTGCTGAGGAACCGTGGACTTTCAATGCCCTTGAACCCCTATGCCTGCTTGTAGATTCTTATCCCAAGGATCCTGAACTAAAAGCAAAGTATCTCCTCGAATGGCAGAACACAATTGCTAACCTAGCGCTTGGCCAACCCTAAGCCCTAAACCTTAAATTGGAGCTTACGGAGGAATGGTACTCATCAGTATCCAGGCACCTGCAGTCAAACACTGATGTGAGCTATGATCTAAACTCCTAGTATCCCCTTCAGAACCCCTAAATAATCCCGTATATAACCACCCTTTAGGGTTTAGGGTTGAGGGTTTAGGAGTTTAGAGTGCAGCTCATGTCACAAGAATCCTGCCTGGGGAGTTTCGCCCTCAGGGGTCTCCACGATCTCACCAGCTTCCACCAAGTCAGTGTAGACCTGGCCCGAATGAAAGGGTAAAGCGCAAATAGAGGGATCTCACCCGGATTTAGGGGTTAGGGCTTAGAGTTATGGCTGCCTGGAGCAGATATTCCATAACAGACTTGAGAAATCTTGACAATACTCACATACAACTGACTATCGGCGTTCTCATATCAAGAATGCTGCTACTCCAAGAAAACCAGTTTCCTCGTGTTGCTTACCCGCCTAACGTCATCGTCAGCTCTCTCTGCAAAATCGTTCAGGGCCAATACCCGAAGCCCGAAGTCCGCAACCCCATCATAGTAGCAATAATAATAGTAGTAGGTGGTAACAAAAAATAGTAGAAAACAACAACAATAGTAGTAGTAGTAGTAGTAGTAGTAGTAGTAGCAATAATAACAACCTTAGTAATAATAATAGTAACAGTAATATTAGCAATAATGGTAGCAATAATAATGATATTAATAGGGCTTAGCTCCTGTACATAGAATGGCGCCTTGTTGATCATCTCAGGCAGCTTGTCGAAGCTGTCTGGCACATGGAAACCGGCTTCCTTCATTGCCTCAAAGATTCTTCTGCAAAAATAACATCATCACAGATGTTTCCTTGACGTTGACTGAAAAACTTGACAAAGCCTCAAGTACGCCAGCGACTTTGGCAATGCCAACGCGTAGTGACTCTAAGCGTGGGAGCAAAACTTCATCTAGCAGGACAAAGTACCAGGCCACTTCATCTTATCACTCTAGCTATCAAACCCTAACTAGATGGCAACCCTGCTGTGACCCTAACTAGGAAGGCATAGAACTGGCACAGGAAGGTTCCCAAGAATGCGAAACAATGTACACAAACCAATCAGCCTCCACAATACTCTACACCTGCAAGCCTAAATCTTGGAAGGCCTTGTTCTTGGCCGCTGCCGTCTCCATGTCACCACGAGCCTGCGCTGTGCGAGGTGTTTAGAGTCAGCCTGTTCCTGGAAGACTTGGGTGGCTATTGGGTTCAGAGTTCAGACACCAGACATAATTTGCTTGAGTCTTTCTACACATCACGGTGCCTCAAAACAATAGGAGCCTGATTGCAGGGGCATCCAAAGAATTGCGAAGCCCTTGTAGCTAAAACCTGAATGTTTGCTGAGAGCACATGTCACCTCCCTCATGCCTACAATTGCAATGATACCCTAGCGATCCAATCCTGAGTCACTGTCACTATACCCCTTTCATCCACACGACAACTCCGTCGAAGCCTAAACTCCAAGCTCCAAATCATCGCTGCCACAGTCCCTCTACTCCCTACAGGCTTCTGCTGCATCTTCACGACTTCAAGCTCCGATTTGATTTATGACTGGTGGTTCGGGGAGCCCTGCGTTATTGCTATCCTTATCACACAGTCTTTGCGGTCAACACATTTCAAAATTTCTCAGCGCCTGGGCGCCGGCATGCCCGAACTGCACCTGCGTCCATCTCCGCTGACTTTTGCTTTTCACATTAGGTGGAGACATCAGGAGACTCGAAGGAATTGTAAAGAGCATCACTCGTCACCCTCATCCAGCTGGCACTCGTGACTGCCGTTGCTTCTGACAATAGCGACCGTGAGAAGATTGCTGATAGTAGCAGCAGGCAGGAACCGAAAGCATGACAAACTGTAGTAATGCTACTACTAAACTACTAAACGCCACCATCGCAAGAACAAAGCACAGTTAACGTTGACAGAAGTATTTAAGCAGAAGTTGACAGCAAAACACGCCAGTCTATGAAAGCAGACTGAGCATATCTGTTAGCATGACAACTCCGGTGCTAAGATCTCATACTACCATGGCTGACCACCCTTGTAAATATCTTGCTCAGCATCATGGGTAGATCCACCCGGCCATCAAACAGAGAATCCCGCAGGGAAAAAACTGGCTTGAATGGAAAAATAGGGGAACCATCACTTCCTGTAGGTTCTGTATCTTACTGGTTCTTCGTACGGAACAAGGGAGTATGTTATATAGGCTATACAGGGATTATTCTCCCTCATTCCCTACTAAAAACCAGTAAGCTAAGCTTCGGCAGCCTACCCTGTGTCTCCGGGGCTTTCGAGGAATGTACTTGAAACATCTAAACCCTAAACCCCCTGCACAGGAAGCCTCCGTGGTAAAGCAGGAAGCGCAGGTTCCCACGCACCACGCGACAACGGGCTTGGTGATGCGTCCCTTCTTGACAGCCTCGGAATGACCGGAAAAAAAAAAAAAAAAAAAA